GGCTTTGCCTGCAGCATTGGACTTGCAGAATGAACTTTGTCCAAGTTCAAATGTGTTTTCTATACCAGCTTGTGCCTGTCACGTTAGCAGGTGTTTGCAATTAAGGTAATTGTGTTACAATATGAAGTTTGAAGAGATTTCTTGTTAAAGTTGCACTAGCTGGATTTGAACCCTGATCTCCCACATGAAAGCCCACAGTGCTCATCATGAGACTATAGGAGATGTGGCAGAGGACAATGTATACAGAAAAAGTTTACCTTGCCAATGTAATTATTGACACTTAAGTGCAATATATTACAGCAATAGGACAACATAAAGACAGTATTACAGTTTTATTTATTAAAATACAATCATATTAATATTGTAATCACTGAAGTACTGAGTTTAAATATTATAAAACTATGGTGCAGTACCATATTGTGTAGATGCAGCAGGGGGCAGTATTGGACCAATACAAGGCTCCATTGACTGTCATTATAGTTTATTAAACATTAATATTTCAAAAACTATAAGTTTTACAGGCACCAAAAGGCATAGCCATCATTTGGGACAGGGGCTTTACAGATATAAATTACAATGGCAGCTCTAGGACAAAGTATGCAGGAGGAGAAGCATGGCAAAGTTGAGATGACTTGGATGGGAATCACAATAGTGATTGTGATTGCCAATGCAATGTACACTGATAACTGAATGTGTACAGTATCTACTGCAGATTAGCTTTTTGGATTCAGTCCCGTTCAAGATGGCTGCCAATCTGTGACCAAGCGACTTCAGCAAACACAAAATTACGAGACGATTGGTGAGGCATTTTTAAAATTACCTTCAGTTCAGTCAGGTTATTTGAAGACAGTTATGGAGAAACAAGTCAAAACAGGCAGCAAGTGATCCATTACATCAAGAAGGATTCAGAATTGGATTACTGTCATATGGAGGTTAACACAAGTCAACTAAGTAAAGAAATTCTTAGGATGAGAAATATGGTTCAGCTCTATTAAAAAAAGAAGTAGGCTACTAATCACAAGAAATGAAAGTAAAAAATCTAAGAGCAAGAAATGCAAGCCCTTTAACTTATTTCATTTACTTGATTTTATCATTTATTAAACAAGGCTCCATAGTTCAGGGTGTGGTTTGTGGGTTTTTTCTTTTGTCTAACATGATTTTAATCGTTTCAGGTATTGTAATTTTTTCCCACAGCAGAACCACCACAAGACAAAAGTTCAGTCCAAAAAGGAAGAATGTGCTCTCTGCTACTCTCTGTGCTCTTCAGCATCATGGTAATATAAACCTGTAACACACTGTGATGTTTTTGTTTATTTGTTGTTTTAAATGCAGATGGTTTGACAAAAAAAAACAGGAAGCTTTATTTTGTCATTTTAAACGGTTTGCTTGTTGATTTAGCTGCATCGGATGCTGACAACTCTTGTTAGCAGACAGGCTTTCTCTTTATCCTCCCTGACCCAAAGCACAAGAATAACAAATAATACTCACCAGCTTCAAGACAAGATCCCCTTGTTGTGTTCTGCAGTCCTCCCCGGTGCTGAGGGGCTGCTGACTGAGCCTCAGTGAGGAAATCAAAAGCTTCTTTGCTGCAGAGTGCAGCAGACAGTGAAAAGAATGTGAGCTGCAGAATGACTCAGGAAATGGGTGGTGATTCTGAGTAAATGAAACCTAAAGCAGCTCAAACAGAATCTGGTCACACTTACTGTTTTTAATGTACTTACTGAGAGGAATTACTGACAAACAATGCAAATAAATAAAACATTAGGTATTAAAACCCTGCCTGAATAAAAAAGGTTTCTAGATTTAAAAAGACCCAGGTCAGTGATGGAGCATGTGTTCTGAGAAACCTGGTTTCTAGTCTGGGTGCTGCAACTGAAAAGACCCGGGTCTGTGTTTGGACCTCATCTGCCACTCTTTTAACTGTGGGTCTTAACCTGAATGTCAGAGAACCAAAAATAGGAGCATCACCAAAAAAAAATGATGCCTGTCGTCTTTTCTTCGTTTAAAAACAAGATGGTTTGATTGAGCCACGATTTAAAGGGGCAACAGTGTGTGCTTCTCAGGCATAGATTTAAATTCTATATCATAAAGTATCTATGTTACCTTCAGTTGTTATTAAAATAAG